CTGAGCAAGGTATGCTCTACGGCTTCATTTTCTTCAAGAGCATTACTATTTTCTTAAAGAAGCCAGAACCGTATTCATAAAATATTGTCGGGACACATAATAGGCAGTTCATTCTATGAGGTCATCTTTATTTGAAGCAAAAGATCAATTTCATAAACTACACCGAAAAACATTCCTGGGGTTACTAAAACCACAGGAACTCTGCCCCGCTGTTCCTACAGGACTTTACAAGTCACTGGCGCTCCCCCACTCAAAGATTCCTTAAAAGTATCATTTCACATGTAGGTACAATGAAGGAGAGATTTAAAAAAAAAAAAACACACATTCAATAGCCAAAATAGTTATTTATTAATAATTTAAGGTTTTACATTCTTATAATAAATTTCAGCTCAAAACTTTACACCATGAACATATGGAGCAACCTAACTCTCTTTTCACAATCATATGCACTTACTTCATCCATCAGACGGGGACCCATGCTCGCACACACACTTCCAGTTTTATACAAATTTTTTTTTTAAAAAGGAAAGAAACCAACCCAAAGTATTGCATTTGAGGTGACACTCCCTGAAGAATTTTGTACAGAGGTAATATACTGTTTAGCACAGCTGATGTTTAAAAAAAAAAAAAAAGTGAGCCATGATTTTGGTGTCTTTCCAAGATATCCCCTTTGAGACAACACAAGCCAAAATATTTACAAATGTAAGGCATAGTCAAACTACATTAAGAGGGGGAAAAAAAAATCACAAGGAAGATATATGAAAGAGATTAAAGGCTGCACCATACCAAGGTCTCAGTGATAAGTGTCCATGAAAATGTCATTCAGAGTTGGTGAAGTTGAGCATGCTGCAAATATATCCTTTGGATTAGAAAAGAGCAAATGTTTCTATTTTTTGTTGTTGTTGTTTTAAGAAGTGGCATACTGCCCTTTCTCCCTTTGGATGATTTCTTTTAAACCCAACAAAGAAAAAACAAACACAGTTCAAACAAACACTGTCAAGTGATTTAAGATCAAATATTTACAATAATCAAATGGAGTATCAGATTTATTTTATTTATTATTACTTATTTTTGTTTTGTATTTTTTATTTTTTGCAAACTGATACTACAAATACAGAGCTGAAACCTCTCTTTGGCTCCTCTATATGCAATATTGAATCAGTCTTCACTGAAGACAATATAGAGTCAGTTCCAGATGCAGAAGGAAACAGTCACACAAGGCCCTAAAGAACACACGCTCCTACCCCTACCATTTGGTCCTACCCTATATACCTGGAAACCCTCAAATTCCAGTCCCTGCATGGGTAGGCTGTACACGTAGGTATGGAGCAAACCTACGGCCTGGATCTACATAGCATGTTCTGGTCTTCCAACAAGAGCGGAGCAAATCTCTCCCATCATAATAACCAATTCCACATGTGGGAACCTTGTCTAATACAGACAACTGGAGTCGTTTTGACCCCAGGGGCCACATACAAAGAAAGCAGCCCAGCTGATGCTGCCAAGAGAAACGGCTAAAGGAATGGACACATCCCACCAAGGGGATGTGGGGCCTTTCACGTGGACTGCAGGGAGTCCACCTGGTAGACATTCTGGTTGGAGGGGGTGGTGAAATAGAGCGGCTGCGCAGGGACCCGATTGTCACAGGGGCTGCTGAGTCCAAGCGTCCTCTCGAAGTCCAGCAGCTGGCCCATGAAGTTGAAGTTGGGGGAGATGTTGGATTTCTTCATCTTGACAATGTCATAAGCATCGTTCATTGACAGGTTGAGCTTCTGCATTAGATAAGCCACAGTGACAGTGACCGAGCGGCTAATGCCGGCCAAGCAATGCACCAAGACACCACAGTTTTTGCCCCGGGCTTCATCTGTAAACACAAAAAGAAAAACAAGATTTCAGCAGACCAAAAACCACTCTTTGTGAACGATCGGTCTAAAAACTGAATTTTAAAAAAAGAAGGAAAGAAAGAAAAAGAACCGCATGTGGCAGTTGAGCCCCACAAGCAGCAGCAGATGCATCATTGCGATAAAACATGTACACTGGGCACAATTACATAGTTCAGATATTTTCTGAAAAGGGAGCTTTTGTATTAAGTTTCTGCCAACAACAAAAAAAAATCCTTAATGTGTGCATTCTTTGCCTCAGCATGTGAATACCAGAAACCCTGCAATATGGTCTTGAATGCCTTTTATACAGACAAGCAGACTGCAAGGGTCTATTAAATTATTCTCCAACTGTTGTGCCCCTAACAATGGAGGTATTCAGGCATTTTAAAAGAGAGAGGGAAGTCACAGGGGACAGCCCATTAGGAGGAACAGGATGTCGACATGGCCTGAAAATGAGTTCCTTTGTAATAGGAAATGCATTACAATGCCTGGAGATTCGCTTCTCCAGGCTTCCAGCCCACAGTCCTTCCTGCTGGGCTCAGGTTACCCTCACTGTCTCACTGTTAACCGGTATCACAGTAACATTCAACTGGATTACACCATCTAGCATTCACAGCACTTTCCAACAACTAACCCCATGTCCTAAAGTAACTCCCAGATCTTTTAAAATTATAAAGCAATGCTAAAATTCCTGTCAGTAGTGAGTACTACTTCCATCTAGCCGGTCCCAAGTCCAAAGACTGTGAGAAAATCCTGTTGTCTGATCATGTACAGCCTGCTTTCAAATGACTGAATTCAAAGACTCAAGAAACCCCATTTCAAATACACCTGTGGTCTGCAGCCATGTCAAAAAGGCACTTTTTCTTTTCTTAGTGAGAGGATAAACCAGAATTAAGAACCCCCTTGTAACATTAGAGACCTGCACTCCGACAAGCTAGCAAGCAGCAAGAGAGATTAACAGCTTAAATTCTAGGAATGGCTAGGAATTTTGCATTTAGAAGTCTGAGGAAGGACTGTTCATTAGTCTCACCTATGAAAGAAATGGCCTCAGGGAAAAACTGGGACAGGTTTTGACTCCAGTGATCCGAGATGGGGATCTGCTTGTATTTAAACTCTCCTGCGTTCTCAAAGAGATTCGGCAAATTGGGAGTGACGTTCAAGATGTACTTGATGCCGAACTCCTCCAACACGTCCAGGTTGGTGGAGTCCTTGGCACAGCCCAAATAGAGGAAGGGCAAGATCTCCACGGGGAAGGAAGGCTGGCTGTTGGACAGCGGGCTGCCATCCGAGTCCGTTGCACTATTGGGGTCTCGGTCAAGGTCAGACTCAATATCCGAGGAGGAGTCGGAGCTGATCCGCAGGCCCCCGAGCCCCAGCACTGGCAACGGTGGCGAGCTGCTGCTACACGAGCCGTCTAGATTGGTCTCGCAGTGCAGGGCGAACTCGGCTTGGAACTTACTGAAGCCACCTGCCAAGACGAGAAAAGCAGTCGTGTAACCTGAGATCCCGTAGTAGTTTTCACAGCTTGTGAGAGCCGCAACCGGGCGCAGGAAACACCATAGCACCCTACGAAACCCCCTGCACACAGAGCCAATTATAAGAGAGAGACACTTAAATGGGTACCCTTGGGAGGGGAACGAACAGGCCCGCCTTCCCTGGAAACCCTTATTCTTTTAAATCCGGAAATGCACAAAATGGCAACTTTTCTAAATATTTTGAGGGGCTAGGGGATGCAATCTACACCCCCAGTGACCTCTAATGTCCTGCAAATCGTAATTCGAAATCCAACGATAGAACGCAGGGACAGGTGGAGGATATTACGGGTAAGCAGGAGGACAACTCGTTAGAAAGAAACAACCCGTGCCTGTGGCCGGAAGCTGGTGGATTCTGCGCCAGCCTGCTCGCGGGTGCGGGACGCCGGAGGTTCGCAGCCGGGAGCCGGCGGAGGGCCCCCAAGCCCGGCAGCGCGACTCAGAAGCGCCAGGCGAGCGCAGCAGGGGCCCTTGGCAGTCCGCGTGCCTCGCCCGCACCCACCCCACAGCCCCGCGACCCCCGCCCGGCCCCGCGCGCGGGACTCCCCTGGCGCGTACCTTCCAGGTAGAACGCCCGGCAGCCCTCGTCCTTGAGCTTCTTGAGCAGCAATCCAAGCACCGACTCGCCGCCAGTGTTCTCGTTCCAGTCGCTGCTACTCTCGTCGTAGAGTACTACCGTGTCGGTGCCGCAGCGCCGGGTGAAGCGGTCGCGGTCCTCGCCACGCGTGAAGAGCGCGCGCACGGGCAGGTTGCCCTTTTGCAGGCGCCGCAGCATGATGCCCGGGATGGCCACGTTGATGGCCGACTCGATGTGCGACGACTCATACAGCTCCTGCGGCCGGCAGTCCATCAGCAGCAGCCGCTCGTTGCCCAGCTCCAGCTGCTCGTTGAGCCACGCCACGGTCTTGCTGATCGCCATTTCCGACGCGAAGGGCACGGGTCTGAGCGTATCTATCATGGGGGTCGAGCTACCGGAGAGGGCGGGTGCCTACCAGACGCCCCTCGGGGCAGGCATAGGCCGAGCGCGCCGCGCGAAGCTGCCGCTCTGCGAGCGGGGGTTTAATTCCACCTTGCCCTTCCCAGACCGGGTTAGCGGTTGGGGAAAGCGAGACAGAAGTGAAGCCGGCTGTTCCCTCTGCTCCCGGCTGCAGCCGCTCGCTCTTGGTGTCAATGAATCTCTTTGAATGAAGCTGCCCAGACAGTTTTGTTCCTCCCCAGTGAATGAAATCCAATTAATTCGGACTCCCTGCTACTAAGGAGGGGAGGGAAGGAAGAAAAAAAAAAAAAAAAGTCCAGCGGCTCCTAATCCCTCCCTTCAAGGCTGCACCTCAAATCCACCCGGGCGTCTTTCTCCTCGAATTATTCAAACCTCGATTTGCTCACTCTCCCTTGGACTCAGCCCTCGCACACCCCCTGCGCTAGGCAGCTCCTCAATGGATACAAACAGCGAGCGTCTCAATGGATACATTCTCTCGGCCAGCCAATGAGCGCGCTGCGGAAGGGGCTGTTGCCGTGGGGACGGGCCGGCTGGAACAGGTTGTGTTGATGAATTGTTAATGAGTTTGTCATTCACAAAAACGGAAAGGAATTTCCGCTCCGGATAAGCCCCAGTGCAAACAAGCTGCAACAGCGGGCTCGGCGGGAGGAAGGAGAAAGAAGAGGAGGCGGCGGCGGAGGAGGAGCAGGGCACATAAACCAGGGCACTTCAGTTGTCTCATGTTTCCTTCTGTTGAGAGTTCACACTTTGCGTCGGAACTTTTGCGCACAAATGGTGCAATTAGCAGGCACAAAAGCCCTTGTTCGTGACGCCTGCGCTCGCAAGCTAGCTTTAAGAAAACTTGTGCTTTTTTTCCCTTTATATTCCCTTTAAACTCATTTGGACCGGAGTTCGCCTTAACCCCCCTCCTCCGCCCTCCTTTAGGCGGTGTGTGGCATTTGTTTGCCAGTTTAAAAAGCCCAGCTCTGTTTGCTCCGATGTTCTTTTAGTTGAGGCTGTGTTGGGGCTGGTGAACTGCCTGGGCTTTAGTGACCGATGAGGTGTTAAATGCTAATCCAACATCTTTCGAAACAAACTAGGATTTTGTTGAAACATTTTAAAGCAAGCAAACAAACAAATGCCTGGTTGTTCAGATAATAGGAAGAAAGGATTTTTTCTTAATAGCATTTAAATTACTTTATTTTGTTTTTAAACAGTGGAGCCTGCAGAAACAAACTGGTTGGACAGTCCGATGCTTTTATTCCTCTCCAGCGGCCTGGGGCGTTATGAGCCATTGTTCCGGGGATCCAAGTGCCCCCCCCCGCCTCCGCCTTCCCGCGGTCACCCACCGCGCGCTGGGGGATTGCGCTCGTTAATCATTTCTGGGCAGCAAGCTCGGCTTCCGACAGAGGAGCCGGTCTGGCGGGGCTGCAAGGGCTAGGTGCATTTAGGGCGTGCGGGAGCCTGGCGGGCTGTCCTCACCAGCGGCGAGGCTTGCGGGAGCTCGCGCAGGCTCGGCGATTGGTCACGTTGCACAGAGAGACCCGACCGAGGGGAGCCTTCTGTCCCACCCCGGCAACCCCCTCCCCTGCGGGTCGCCGAGCCCTTGCGGAGGACCAGCCGCGCCTGCGCGGTGCGTTCCTTGCCTAGCACCCCGCCACCCCCGCCTCCTGGCTCAGCTGGTGCGGGGTGCTGGGCGACCCTGCGGAGGGGTGCGGAGCCAAACGCTCGACTCTGGGGTTCCGTCACGGCCTGGGCGGGGTGAGGGTCGAGGAGGAGTGCCTGTCGAGACCCCCGGCTCGCAAGGAGTGCTGGGAGTCGCAGAGAACGTCGCCGCCGCTCTGCAGGGCCCGCAGGTAACTGGGGAAGTGCCGGCCAGGCCAGCGCGCCGCGTTCCGCCGAGGCGCCGCCGGGCGGACTGGCCGGGCACCGGATGGAGGCGTGGCCGGGCGGGGGCCGCGGCGGCGAGGAGGCGCATTCCCGGCGCGCAGAGCTCTATTGTTATATAAAAGTGCCGGGGCCTGCCCCTCCCGAGCGGAAAACCACCTGTGTGCGGCCGGCGCGGCGCTGGGGCCGGGGGGGCGAGGGGGGGCCGGCCCTGCGGCCGGAAAGCGCGGGCCCTAATCCGGCCTCCCCTCCCTAACCCCCGGCGGAAAAGAGGCCGCGCATTGTCCCGCCGCCGCCCGGGAGGCGGAAGCGAGGGCAGCGGCTCGGCGGGGAGCGTCTTCCCCCGGCGCCCCTCCCGGCGCCCACCGCGAGTCGAGCAGAGGGCACCTGAGGTCGCGGGGTCTCCCCCAGTCAGACGCCCCGCACCCGCGGGCCTGCCTGCTGACGCCCCGGCTCCAATTTGCATTTTTAGTCACCCGCCTCTTCCCTGGTTTGGAGAATGTAGGCTAAAAAAAGGCGGCTGCGAGGCCCAGGTTGCCAATTTTGGAGCTCTGCTGCAAGCAGGCCGCCCCTGGAGGAGCGTGTTTGACGAAGGTGGGGGTTGCCGCGCGCTCTCCCCGCGCCTTTTTTGGGCATCCCTTGGAACAAAATTCCCATATTTCACTGGATATCATCTAGTTCCAACTGGAGGAGGCCTGCGCCGGAGTTGACGCCTCCAATCTGCCCCCACCTGTTACAGGCTTTTCCCACCCCGAGACTTTTCAGTCACTGGGACCTGGGGGCGAGGCAGGACGCCCTGCAGGGGAGCTGCAAAGAGCAAAATCTTTCAGCCCAGGATCTCCCAACAGAAGAGACAGGGAGGGAAATTGGTTGTTCCTTCGCTATTTTGAAAGTGTACTTACCTGAGCCTGGGCATAGATTGGGGAGGATACTCGCAACACTTCTCAAACCTAAAGACAGAGACAGTTTGACCCGTGCTTCTGAACCCTACGGCAGTCTGGTTCACTGCAGATCAAAATGGCATTCTGACCACTCGGTTCTAAGAGGTGAGGCATAAAGGGTCCCTGCAACGGGGTGGCCAGGGTTAAAATTGTGTCCCTATCACTTCCTAAGCGTGTGCCCTTGGTTAAATCCGTTGTGAACGGCATCTTCCACGTGGCCTAATGAAGATGATGAAAATATTCTCTTCATAGGATCTCTGTGATGGTTAAATGGGTGAAGTGCCCTAGCATGATGTAGATGTGCTATTAGCTGTTGAGGTCTTTACTGTTCTGAATTCCCAAACTGCCTACCGTTCTGAGTTCTTATCTAAATGCCCTTTGAGGCCTGCCTAACAGCCCGCCTGGAACTCCCTTGTCTACAGAGAAGCCCTCGGAGGAACTGCCCTAGGCAGTTTAAGCCATCCCAATTTAGCTGTCAAAGGAGGTGCTGTTACAGACCAGGGTCAAAATCCTTTAATATGGTTAACACTGTGTACCCAGCCACCCTTCTCGTTTCTCCCTAACTGGTTCCCTTTCAACACCCTGTTCTCCAGCCACACCGAATTGATAGAGTAGAAATAATATGTAAATTGGGCATTTACTACATGGAAGGCTACATCTCAGTTTCTGTGTTTACATGCATAATTTTGGTCAGTCTTCAGAAAACCCATGTAAATCATCCCCATTCACAGAGATTAAGGAATTTGCATGAGGTCACTCAGTTACAAACAGTGGAGTCAGGATTTGAGGCCAGACCCTGTACAGACCATTAAGGATTACCTCATACACGTCTCATAGGGTAACACGGAGACCATGCACCACCGCACGGTTCCCTGCCAAAAGTCAAAGGACTCAGTTTTACATTTTGAATTTTGACCACCAGGCTTTTCCAGCTTCACATATCCTGTTGCACCCTCCCTATAAATGTCAAAGATCAAAAGTTAGATTTATTTCCCTGCTCCTTTTACATCTGGTGATTTTCTCTGCACTCACGTCTTTATTAGTCAACCATTCCCTAAATGCTTCATATTTTTCTTCCTTAGAGTTTGTCTTAGATTCTAATCCTAACAACTGCCATTGTAATCTAGTGTGTCAGCACAGCACATGGGCCCGGGCTCCAACCTTAGCTCTGCCACTCACTAGTAGTTTGATAGGGGAAAATCACTTAGCTCCTCTGGGCCTCCATTCATTCATTCATTTATTCCTCCACTCATTTATTCTGGGTTCCAGAAAATCAGGGAATAAAACGGGCAAGAATACCACCTCCACCCCCCCATTCCCCGCCAAAGCTTACATTCTAGTGAAGACAGACAATAAACAAAGTAATTATAGAGTATATTCGGAAGTAAAAGTGCTATGGAGAAAAACAAAGCAAGGAAGGGAATTCAGCAGTATGTAAAATTAGGACTAGCTATACCTTCGTTACAGAACGAGGAGGACTAGAGACACAAAAGGGGTAGGGCACAAGTGAGTATTCAAAAGATGATGTTTTTAAAACTCACTGCCTCCTTCCTGCAGAAAGCTGACTCCCTGTTGCTGGTGATCTTGCCTTTAACCTCATCATCCTGGCCCTGTTGCCCAGGCTCTCAGGAAAAAAGCTAAGAAGAGTTCTAGCTAGCATCAGGAAGGACCACAGGCCGCCTCATTTCCGGAGGCCCCAGTTCCCTGCTGAGGGTATCATTCATGTCCAGAGAACTGTGTTTCCAGACTGGAGAGCGATGCAGGTCATCTCTTACTCCTCATAAGTGCACAGAAGCAACGTGCTACATCCTAACTTCTCTATGTGTGTGTATTTGTGTGCATACCCCCAAGCACCCGTGCTTCAATTCTTCCTTCTTTCATTAGGTGTTTCCCCCTGGAAAGCTCCTTAAAAGTAAGTCTTTTGTTTAGGAATGTTTGCTTGCCTACTGGAGAAGCATTTCAACTCTGCAGAAATTTTCCTGTGTTTTGAGGACACTTGCGATTTACTAGACCCAGAAGGGTCAGCATGACCTTTAATCCTCTTGGGGTAATCTCTGTGAATACAATCACATTTATTAACACATCATGTGAAAATAGTTGAACAGTTTTCCGCTAATAAGGAGAGCGTGTTTTAGAAGGTCTGACTTAAAACGTGGTCTTGTGACATATTCAGGATTCCCTTTTAGAAGTCCCAGGGAGCCTTCAAATTGACAGCCAGTGGCTTTCTGAGCCGCTAAATCTCAGAACAGAATTTCACTGCAGTTGAGAAATGTGTTTGACGTAGTCTGACTTAAAGGGCAGTTGGGGTTCACAAAACTCGAGCTGAGCTCTCCTGACAGGTGCCTCAAAAAGACAGCAAGTTATGTCTGAGCAGCAGAAACCGTGGAACCCAAGAGGACCAAAGGACCGCCAATAGGAAACACCTCTGCACATTTTAGGCTGTGCAGAGGGAAAGCCCAAGGGAGTTTCAAATATGAGCCCCTGGTTTGCTGTCGAACAGCTTGCCCTTTGGTGAGGAGCTGCAGGGTCTAATTTATTAAGCACAGGCTAATGATTGTCCCAAACAATGTGGAGGTTGGGGGAGAGACGGGCCAGATTAGACAGCAACCAACAGGGAGCTAGACAGCAGCAGAGCCAGAATGACAAAGCCACTGTCACATCTAGGGAGTGGTTGGAGCTTTCCTATAAACGAGATGGCACCGTCACACCTTGCCAGAATGATAGGACCTGAAGAAAAATATAAACTATCGTGAAATTCAGACCTTGGCCCTGACCAGGCTAAGCTTTTAAAAACTATGGTCTCCATCAACTTTCTTGTATTTTTCCAATGGAATGCACATTAATGTACATTCAGGAGCCCATAGAGACGTCATCTAGAATTTTCCTTTGAAGCTAGACGCTCTAACAAATTCATTTAAAGATACTAATGTTGATTTCTTTTTTCGGATGCTTTCATCCCTTTCCTTCCAGTGGGGAAACATTCATTGATTCTTCCCTCGTATCTTTTATTTTCAAAAAGTAAGAAATCTAAAAGCATATGTAAATGTATATGTAAGAAGTCCTCAGGAAGCTAGCATCTGTGAGTACAGCCAACCCCACTTAACTATTTTTTGTTACTGTCATTGTTGTTTGGAAATGGAACAATGCTTCCCATTGTATTATTTCCAAAGCCCAGCAATATCTTCAGTGGGAAATTAGGCTTACATTGCCTTCCAGGGAGGCAAGGAGCTATATGTAGTCATCTTTCCAGAAGCTCCTCAGTCATGTCATGAAGCATCATGGATGCTCCCTGGGCATTAGCCATGCTGCATCTACATGCGGAATATTTGCCTTGTGCCTCCTTGTGTGGGCCACAGTTCCTCTGGTGACTTTTCTCCTTATCTTGTGTTCCTTTATTTACGCAGGTGTGAGCAATACAAATAGCTGTTGTGTAAGAGAGACGGATTATTTTTCTAAGTAGGTACTATTTCCTGTCAGCCCTTTTTGCCTCAGCAATCAGGGAAAATGATTGTGCGTGTCCACAATAGAAGGCATGCTTCAGCTTAATTTATCGAATTTAAGAACTTGCAGATCCTCCAAAATATATTGAGGGAACCCCGGGGACATAACTTGTTAAATTTTATTTTGCTGCTCAAGACTGGGAGTTCCAGAGTCAGACCAACCTGGAGTCTAATCCTGACTCAGCAGTTTTCTAATCCTGTGACTCTGAGGGAAATCATATAATCTCCCTATGCCTCAGTGCCCTCATCTGTAAAATGGGGATACTATATTAAAGGGCTATTGAAATAGATGACTTCTATTTGTAAAGGGGTAGGAGCAGCCCTGAAACAATAATAATTCATTGACAGTTACCTGTTTTTATTATTAACACACACACACAGAGAGTTCTTAATAAATAAATATTTATTGACCCTGCTGAAAGGAGATTATATAGTAAAAAACACTAGTGTTAGTTTATTCTCAGGAATAGAAAAACTATCCATACAAGATTTTGAAAAATAAAATTTTAGAGAAGAGTCCATTGCTTT